TCAAGTCTGAGGATAGTTATAGCAAGGTCGATTTGAGAATACTGATAAACACATTACTGTAGATCCATGCAGTATTCTCAAGATGGGTCAATCCAGTCACATATTATCGATATAATATGCACCTACGTACAAATTAAGATATCACAATACCTATAGTCTATGAGACGCAACTATCTCATCTCCTACGTACTAGTCTTGATACGTTATGACGTCCGTATTATCATAAAGTGCGACTAGGGATATTCTAGACATAGCCTTCGTCAAGAAGTAACAGTCTCATAATCAGAACATCGTAGTCCTCATCTATGTTACTAAAGCGCTATCGTCTATGGACTGAAGCTATGTTATGTTACACGAGATATAAAACATACTTCAAGGCCTTTTATTCATGATAAAGTGTACAGTTACATAGGTATTTGATTGCCGCTAGGGCACCTAAATACAACATATTGAAGGCTGCAGGTGTTTCACGAAGGATGGATAATCGACGACTAAGAGTGATAATCGATTATTTGGCAGCTCGGGACAGGAAAAGAAGTATTTCTTAGGAAAGAGGAACAAGCCAAGTTGGTGTCAAGGGATATCACACACCCTTATCTTAACTTGGGGTTGAGTCTAGCATTCAAATATGATATTACACACTTATTCAAATAACTAGAACCTAAAACTCACACTCAAGAGAACCACTCTTAAGATATTGGATTAGGAATTTGGAATGAAACACACAAGTGAATCACTTTGATTTTTAAATGGGATACAATGTGTTTCTATACCCAGGCCTATTGCTGAATATATATGATTACATTGGAGGGAATATGGGAAAATACAACTCACTCAAAATAATGTCCATGTGCTTATGTTTCTTGAGTGGAATGAAATCAGGGATATGGGTTGTTTGGTGGAGTTTTGGGCCGTTCCTGAGTTGCAGGAAATGTTGGGGGAAGGAGGGATGAATGTGGGGAGGGCTGAGGTTGAGGGCCACGGAGTGGGGGTAAGATGAAGTAGTACATTTGGCTGGGTATTTGTGGAGGTTTTGGGGAATTTGAATTTGGTCAGGGTTGGGAGACAAAGGGGTGTGTGTGGGGTGTGTCATTTGGAGTTTTGTTGTAGGTTTGTTGTGGGGAGTGGATTTATTATTGTGAAAGGAAAATATCCCTGGGCATTTTGGGTTATAATTTGAGTGTATTGGGGAACATAATGGGGACCATGCTGGGTGTGTTTTTGGACACTTATTTTCGGCATTGTAAAAGAAGAGGAAAGGGAAATTGTGGCTTGGTTTTCTTTGGATTCCTGGGAAAGGATTGTGAAATGTTGGGATTGGTTATTAAGGTGGTGATGGGTTTAGGGTAAGTATGGTTAGGGTGCATGGTTTGGTGATGATTTCATTCCAGAGGGGGTCATAACACTTAGACATTATTCCATTGATTTCCTTAAGGACTTGAGGGTGATTTGTGGTGCTCTGGGATATATCATGATTCCTAACAATAGCGATAAAAAATGATCATGATTTGCACGATACTGAGGAACTATTGGAGTTGAGTTTTAACTTTTATCCCTTTTTCTAATTAAATTTTTTTGAATTAATTTTTTATGATCTTAAGTACGGAGTACAAAATTTTGACTATCAATATCTATACTCATATAGATATACATATACGGTAGGAATTTGATATTTTAAATTTATATTTTAAGACAAATCAGTTTATTTTAAATTCATATCTGAATTTAATATATTTTTTGTGTAATTTGTACTCCTTTCGTCCCTAAATAAACTTCCCTTTTTGACTTTTTGAGGATTTAAGGAAGGGATATTTTTGTGTTGACTTTCCAAAAATACCCTTGATGTGATGTGTAATAGTAAGATGTGATATGTAGATTATTACTCCCTCCGTCCTAAAACTTTCTTCTCGTTGCGCAAAACGAAGAAAAATTCCAAGTTTTTTCAATCTATTTTATTTAAATATTGGTATAGAAATAAAAAATAAAATATACATATTTAAAAACGACATCAAAAGTTCAACAAAACAAGTGGTGACAAGAATATTTTATTTTATCATATAGGCCATGAAAAAACACAAATAAATATAAATTCCCGTGAAGTTGGAATAGTGCTCTGGAAAAAAAGTTTTAGAACAGAGGGAGTAGTTAAAAGGTATGATGTGATGATAGGTAGGGTATGAAAAAGTAAGGGGTAAAAGGGGTTTTTTAAGAAAAAAGAGAAATTTATTTGGGGACAAAGAAAAAACGAAAGGGGAAGTTTATTTAGGAGGGAGTAGTATATTGGCGAAAAGAATCTCAAAATTCAATGAGAAGGATCATATTATATTGGACATGAATATTATTAATAAATACTGTAATTAGTTCAACGGGGAGTACAGTACGTATATCTGAAATACGGAGTGCTCTCTATAACATTATCTACCAAAAAAGTCTCACATTAATTTACTTTCACTAAGAAAAGAAATCTCTTATAAACCGGATTTCCTTTCTTTGGAGTAAATTCTAACCTTTTTCTCCTCAATTTCACAGAATTTTCTTTCTTTCACCAGAAAATATGGAAGCCAATAAGAAGGAATTTGGGAGTCAAATCTCACAAAAGCCGTCCATTCCATGGCGGACCCGCTTCGCTCTTTCCATCGCCTCCGCCGTCACAGACGCCTCTCGCCGCCAAAACGGCACCGTCAATCGCCGTCTCCTAAACGTATTCAGCATCAAGTCTCCCCCAACCCTAAACCCCGTTAACGGCGTCAAATCTTCCGACATCACCGTCGACCCTGACCGCGGCCTCTGGTTCCGCCTCTTCGTCCCCACCGCCGCCGACGCCCGGGATTCAGACTCCCTCCCGGTAATTGTCTTCTTCCACGGCGGCGGCTTTGTGTATCTCGGTGCCGATACTCGAGAATACGACGCCGTGTGCCGCCGATTTGCGCGCAAGGTCCCGGCGCTAGTTATCTCAGTTAATTACCGGCTTGCACCGGAGCACCGGTACCCCGCTCAATACGATGACGGATTCGATGTGCTGAGGTTCCTCGATCATGAAAGTAACAGGGGAATTTTGCCGGGAAATGCTGACGTGTCCCACTGTTTTCTGGCCGGAGACAGTGCCGGAGGAAATCTGGCACACCACGTGGCTAAGCGAGCATCGGAGTCTAGTTTCCGTGAGGTTAAGGTAATTATTACGTACTCGCAAAAAACAGTTCCCAACTTCCCTAAGAAAATACTTCTTACACAAACACAGTCATTATAAAATTCACAAACTTATTATTTGTGAATTTCTATTAAAAAAATTAAATAGTCTAAAATAATTTTAAAATGAGAATTTAAACCTTAAATAGTAAGTTTGTGGAGTTTGTGACCAATCCTGTTTGTGAATGTAGCAATGTCCTTTTAACTTCCCAAAGATTTGTTCTTGTAATTGACTTTTCAATTACTCCCACCGTCCACCAATAAATTTTCCGTTGCGCGTTACGATATTTGACTGAAGTTATTTTCAAATCATTTTATATGAAAAAATGGTGTAAAATTCAAAAATAAAAATTACATATTAAAAAATTATATCAAAAAATATACAAAACTAGAGATGACATGACTATATTATTTTATCAAATGAGTGACAAAAATAGACCAAGAAAGTGAATAAAGTTTGATCTTGTGAATAGTGAACGACAAGTTTATTTGTGGACGGAGAGAGTATATTTTTTAGCAAAAAAAAAAAGAAACATGTAAATAATTTATTACATCAATGCAAAAATGGATATAGTATATACCAATGATTTCATTTGGATATATTAGTTATTTTTTTTCAAAAGAAGAAATGTTTTGAAGAAAATGAAAAAAATTAAAGGGAAAGTTTTTTTTATAGAAATCACCCTAAATAGAATTAAAAATAGAAAAAAGTACGAAACTAAGAGTTACGTGTTTTTATTCCTGAAATAGAACTTCGAAATGTGGTAATGTGGTTGTAATGTGACATTGTACATGTACACATTACCTTTTTTTGGTAATGTATATGACCATGTTTGTTAATGTAAATACATTTTAACTCCTATTTCAAAAATAAAAACATAAAAATCCTATTTTGTAATATTTTTAATATTTTACTTCTACTTTAGTCTTTTTCCCCTTTTTTACACCAATCAAATCTATATCAAAAGCTTTACAAAACAAAATGTTACAAAAATATATAATTTTATCAAACAATTAATGAAAATATGCATCCAAACATAAATTATCGAGATACCATATAATAATAATAAAGAAAATTAATTTGGGAGGGATGAAAATGAAACATAAAAGTCAAAATAAAAAGTTAAAAGTTGTGATAAAAAATACAACAAGAACTGTTAGAGTGTCATCCCACATCGGAAGTTCAAGAACAAAACAATCGTTATATAAGCTCTTGAGTTGAACTAACTAATCGATTGGATTCAATCTTTTAATGTGGTTCAGCCCGAGTGTCATATAGCTCAATCCAGTTATTCATATCCCATCTCAAATTTTATCATGGTGTCAGAGCAGGTTTTGGCCTACCTCGTTTGTGAAAGTGTCCGTCTAGATGCCCATTCCTAGCGGCCCATTCGTCTTTAGCCCTGTTGTCCGTATGGAGTATGTATCCAACGGCCTGTGGCCCATTTAACACGATTGCTCGTCTGAAAGTCCATACCGGCTCGTGGTCCTTTAGATGTTGTCGCTCAAAAAAAATCAAGGGAATGAGAGTTTATTTGCAAGTGGTCAACCGGTTAGATTCAAAATGGCCCGGTTGTCCACTTGAGAGGGAGTGTTAGAGTGTCATCCCGCAACGGAAGTTCAAGAGCAAAATAATCGGTATATAAGCTTTTGAGTTGAACTAACAAATCAATTGGATTCAACTTCTTATTGTGGTTCAGCCCGAGTGTCTTATAGTCCAGTCCAGTTATCCATATCACATCTCAAATTTTATCAAGAACTTAAAGAGTTGCTTACGAGAGAGTTTTGTCTCTCTAAACTGTAAAGAGTTGTTTAACCTAAGTTGAATAAATAATTTAGCCTTTATAGAAGCGTTTGACACCGACACTAAGGACTTGGACTTGTTTATCTAATTAGTTCTAATCCAATCAAAAAATTTATAATTTGATATGGTCTAGTTTGATCTGACTTTAGTTATTTTTAAAATTATTTTTGATTTGATTTGGTCTAATCTGATCACATGGTTCGATCCGAATCCAATAAGAAAAATTTTATACTCCATTCTTTTTTTATAGTTTTAGAGCTTGTTCAATATTTGAAATATACTTCCTCCGTTTCTTAAAACCCTTCATCTTTCATTTTTTTGTTTTTTTTAAAATACTTTCCCTTTATATTAAAAAACCACTTTTACCCATTACTTTTTCATATCCTACCTATCACATCATACTTTTTCACTAACAACTAAACTATCACATCTTACTTTTACCCATCACATCAAGGGCAAAATTGGAAAGTCAACTACAATTTAACACTTCCTTATTTTCCCCCAAAGTCAAAAGAGGAACTCTTTTGAGAAACGGAGGTAGTATATAATATTATACTCCATTCATTTTTTTATTTAACAAATCATTCTTATTTTTTGATACATCGACAAATAAAGTAACTAGAAATAAAATATGCCTACACTATTTTATTTTTCAATATATTGGAAAAAATTCATAAAGAGTGGTTAAAATTTCGTTAAAATTTAGAGTAAAAAGGAACGAGGCCATGGGTGAGTACAGACTTGAATATGGAGCAACTGACATGATAACAATTGATTGGGCTAATTTAATACGGAGTATTACACATGGGGACCCCATCATCAAGGCAATAAATTGTCCGGGGAGCAACTCGAGCAAGTGATTTGCTTCATTAAGCAAAGTTTTCTCTCCAAACAAATCTTCATTAAGTTTTCTCCATTTGCTTGAGCAAGGAGTGTCAAAGAAGAGCTAAAGTGCTTATGAGGTCCCTAAATATTTTAGAAAATGCTTCCTAAGTCTCTTAATTATTTTAAATGCTTACAAAGTTTCTATATTTTCTGAAAGAGCTGTTTGTAGTGTTTATTTGATCCCTATTCTTTTTAAGTGGTATGTTAGTAGTTTCTTTTGTAGCTTTTTTCAAACCAGATCTTCTAAAATTGTTGTAAAAATCGAGATTATATCGCAACTTTTTGAACAACATGTGGATGTTACTCAAACAATTTTTGCGCACTTGGTTTAAAAATGCCACCGAAGAGACTACTAATGCACCAGTTAGAAATTTTATGGATCTCTTAGGTACTAAAAATAATTTAGGGACCTATGGAGCACATTCAACTATATGTATAGATACATACATACATACATACATGTGTGTGTGTGTGTAGACACACACACAAATATATATATATATATATATACACACACACACACACACACATACGTATCTAGTGAGAACTTAAAATAATTCAAGGATTTGAGAAACACTTTCAAAAAGATTATAGGGACATTGTAAGCACTTTACCCATTAAAGAAGATATATTGAGTCTGATTCTTAATAGTTGCGCTGAGAGACAATTATGTTAAACATAGTAAGGCATGTGCATGTCAAGATGTAGGTTCCACCCTTTACAAACTAATCTATGATTATAGCTCAATTCAACTCCTTCGAAGCGACTGCCTGGCAGGTTTTAAGGGGATAAGGCTCATCCTCTTTTTCTTTCAAAATGCTTTTTCCTTGTGTGCATCTTTTTTAATCTTTTGATATTGGACATGAATATACCAAAATAACTCTTACTAAAATATTTCCACATTTATTTTTTTTGCGCATCCCACAAAATACTTCTACTCTATCTAAAATGTCTAAAATACATCATATTTTCTCCTTTATTGCGGATATAAGTTATTTTAGTGGTGATTTTGACATTTTTTAAGGGATAGAAGTATTTTGGGGGATGCGTAAAAAATGAAAGTGAACTGTTCTAAAAAATGAAGGGAGTGAAATAAAAATAAAAATACTTATCAGTCATGCTTTTGTAATTATTTGTTCTGTGTTTATTTTTTGTTGAATATACTCCCTCTCTCCAAAACTTATCTTCTCCTTGCGCGTTACGATATTTGATTGAAATTATTTTCAAACTATTTTGTAACAAAAATGGTGTAAGGTTACGTTAAAAACTAAAAATTACCTAATTAAAAACTACATTAAAAAATTTACAAAATTAGAGGTGACATGCTATATTATTTTATGAAATATTTGCACTAGATAACACTAAAACTTAAGTCATTTGCCTAAATAGCACCATAACTCTTTCTTTCCCTAAATAGAACTTAATAGTGTCCATAATGTCCAGTGATGGCAAACATTTACTTGAATAATGACTAATAGATACTGACTAAAAGTACTACATTAAGAACAAAACACATGTGATGATATTTAGAAAAGGTCATTAAGTTTTAGTCTATTTAAGTAAATTCCTCTTATTTTATCGAATCGACAACGGAATAGTGAATGAGAAGATAACTTTTGGATGTGGGAGTATATAGAATGGTTAGAGTGGTGGCCGTGGAGACGACAAGCCGAAAAAAATGATATGAGAAAACTCAGAGTTTATAAGATTACTTAGAGTATTATTTTACAACAAACAAGGAAATAAAAGAACGTAGAAGCCAACAGCCAACAGATCGAGGATACATAGCAGTGCTGCTGATTAAATTGGACAAATCGGAGAAGCAACAGGAAGCTAGAGGTGGCAGCGTCGAATGTACTAGATTAATTAGCTTCCTCCCAAGCTGGCTAGGGTTTTGCTACTTAATTGACTATTTCTTCGATTGATCAGTTTCCGGCGCGCGGGCCATGGTGCATGGAATCTTCATAGTGATTGATGAAGACGACGCACGTTAATTATCAAAACCCTGGCTTGGCCTGGTGTCATCATCACGGAGTACGGCTCAAACGGTGTTAACAGTTCCATGCACTAATTCCATGACTACTATACGGTGAACCTCCCGGGCTAATGTACCACAAGGTCTGCAATCCAAAATAAACGAACAGTAGATGTGAAGCACCAGTCCGTCTTCGCGTGAAAAATCGGAAAATTGTCATCCTCTTCAATCTTCATGGACTCAAATGTTGTAAAACATGTTCTTTGAGATCGTCTATTTCATTTTCTTTTTCGAGTCTCTGCCTATCATCATCTTCTAC